GGGTTGGTGGTGCAGAAAAAAAAACAGAAAACTAAAAGTACAAAAAAATAAGTAAAAAATTTCTTTTTGAGGGGAGGGGGATTTTGCGGGAGGGGGAGGGGCAGGGTGGGTGGATGGTGCAGAAAAAAAGAACATAAAATTAAAAAAAAAAAGTAAAATTGGAGCAACTAAATAAATTTCTATATAAGTTGGGTTGAGATACCTTTTGTTTTGGGTGAGTTTCATGGGTTGTATTTGACTGCTTAATAGGTCAGAATGAGCTATAAAATATAATGGGTTAAATTGGTCTCGGCCCAAATTGACTAATGAGCTAAAATATTTGTAACTCAACCCATTAATCTCTGGGCGGGTTAGATGGGTTTGGGCTCAAATTGCCACCCCTAGCTGGCAGGCCTAAACTGAAGAAAAATAGGCAAAAACATAAGACAAGCAAAAGACAAGGTGAATGGTCTGCTTCAAGGAAAAGGATAACCATGAACTGTAGCTACTGTGGAGAACCAGGGGCGGCTCAATAAGTTTGGTGGCCTAAAGCCAAACTTTAATGTGAGGGCCTTTTTAAAAAGCCATATATATTTTTAATTGAAGTAGATTTTTCTAGCTTTTTTAGAATAAAATTACTAAATTTTTCGCATAAACCATTTAATCTCTCATGTGCCGTATGAACTTAAGTAATAAAACATGATTCAAGAAGTTGATAACTTTGTATTAAAAGAATTTTTTTAACGTTTCAATATACTTGTTGCAATGATAAAAACATGAGGAAAAATAGAGTTTAAAAGTGTATTACATATTTTATAATAATTAATGTAATCCTTTTTTTATATAAAATATTTTACTTTACTACTTTGAAATACTTATATTTTCTTAAAAATATTTGGGTCCTCACAAGAAGAGTTGTGGCGGGATAAATAGCATATCTCCTTTAATCGAAAGTATTCAGTTTCAGTATTTGAAATGAAAAAAAAAATCCTTATAAGGAACTGTCTTTAATGGACTTTACACGGTATGAATTTGAATTAATCGATGTCCCAAACTAAATATCGAACATCAAATAAGAATTGGGAAACAAAAGTTGGGCCCCCCAAAATTTTGGGACCTAAAGCCACTATTTAGTGGCTTTACCCTCTGGCTGCCCTTGTGGATAACCAAATCATAATGCAAGAAAGTATACAAATATGATTTGTTACTCTTATTAGTCGTTAACAATAGACTTTCTATTATCTAACAATTTGTTATTTATTTATGACAGCCATCTAGTGCACAATCTAAAGGAAAGCAGACAATGAAAAGGAAAAACATTGTGGATTATGAAGACATTAATGAAGAAATACCATTATCAAGTTCCCACAATCTCAAAATAGTCAAACCTCTAGTAGTCCACTTGTGTTCATTCCTACCCCAACTGTTTTTTATAGCATTTCCTCTCTACGAGATGTTATTAGTAGGAGACCTTTACCTCCACAATTTGCAGATGAAGAAGACCCTATTATAAGGTCAAAATTATTTCAGAGACAAGGACAAGGCTTCAGGTGAGACAAAAATCAAGTCTTCCATTCGTGACAAGATTTATCCTTGTAAGAAATAGTTCAACTAGTGTGAGTGATCGTTCAAATCTTCCCTACTCACCAACAGGACTCATATGGAAGGGAAACGAGGTTGTAACTAGCAACCAGCTGGAGATGCAAGCTCAGAAAAAAATGGAAAACTGCAGGCAAGAAAGGGAAAGAAGAGTAATATGCTGGAATAATGGGAAGTAGGTTTTTGGAGTAATGGTTTGGGACTTATTTTTTTGTCAAAATAATTTGGTTGGTGATGCAATTTACGGCTTCTGCCAGTACATTTACTACTACTCTTTTTTTGCTAGGTTGGTGATGACAGTTGGATGTCATAGTATGACTTAGGTGGTAACTTCTTTTGGGGTTATAATATAGCATCCGTATGTCAATTTAAATGTACCTTAACAATTAATATTTTAAATTAATGATAATAGTTATTTAATCCACTTGTTATGTAATTTTAATATCATATTATATGTATCAACCTGTTTATGTGAATCTTAGCTATTGTTGAACAAACCAAATTTGGATGTTTTTGATCTAATTGGATACTCAGATTTGGATGTTTTAATAGATGAGAATCTTCAAGCAAATGCAATAGCAATACATGATTTAGCTACTGTAATAGCTTCACCAGATAATCTTTTGATTTGTTCTCAAATTTTACTCCAAAACAGACAATTGTCGGTTCAAAACACACTATTTTAGCAGTGAAGATAGGTGGTGCAAGGACATTTAATTTCATCTTTTACCCAACAAAATAACATACAATACATTGCTCTAAATATCCCAACCTAACTTAACTTCATAACACAAAAGACCACAACACTAGATATCATTTAATTCATCAAACAAGCTGCAACTAAGGTACCAAATAGGACCCATGATATCAAAATAACTAAGTTCATTTTCTTGGAATTGGTCCTTTCCAGTTGATTTGTAGCCTCCATTTCTTCAACTTTAGTCTTCAATAAGTCCCTTTTGAGATAAGTCGCATCCAACATCGACGCCAACATACTTGTTTCGGTCTCTCCAACTTCAATTATAGCCTCCATTGCTTCAATTTTTCTTTTAATTTCAACCTTAGCTGCATCCAATTGCGACTTCAACTTGCAAATAACAGTCAGAACTCTGTCCGATAATACTTCATCAACCCATTCGAAATAACAACACGAATTTTTCTGGAAAAATAATTCAAATGATTTCAATCTAGAAAAGAATTGAACAATCACAACATGATAATTATATAAATTAACTCACATCAGGTTTAGGACATTTGTAGAATCTCCGACCAGCATTGCAAGGAGTGTAAGCTGTAAAGTAGTGGGCAGTCATACCGCATAAACACCTCCTCTTCGAACCAACTTCTTGAGACAAACAACTATATTGTGACATACTTTAAATTAAATGACAAATTTACGGGAACAACAATGAGAAATTAAATGATCTTCTTGCAATAACAGATAGAGCAAAACAAGAAGAAACCAACTACAAATTTATTATATCATAATAATAGCAATCCCTTGTGTGATAATAGGAGGAGGAGGCAAAAAAATTAAGAGATACCATGAACCCTAAGATTTGGGAATGAAGTAAGAAGAAGGAACGAGTCTCTTAGATTTGGGTATAAAATGAGATAAAAGGGCTGAAGCCTTTCTATTTAAATGAACCCGTTAAAGGGTTATGGATCGGATTCAAATCAGGTGTAAAAATGGGTACCTAACGATAATTAAAAAAAAGAAAAATAAAAAGGGTTGGGTGTCTTGAGATTGAGCCACGTGTCTATTTCGGCTGGGTCAGTTAATGAAAAGGTAATTTTATTCATAACACTAACATCAGGAATAGAAAAAATTGAATAGTATAACGAGAGTACAAATAACTAATATATAATAGTACATGGCAGCACAAATAACTACTAATATATAATAATACAGGGCCAGGAATAGCCCTTTTCCGAAATAAATTTGGTTTGGACGCAAAAGTAGAGAAGCCACGTGCAAGTTGTACTAAGGAGGAGATAAAATCGGACGCAGTAAATCATTCCCCCTCCTTCCCATGCACTTCATTGAAGCCTCCTTCAACAGCTTAGGGTTCCAAATTTAACTCCAGAACTTTTAAATTGATTACGCCAATGGCGTCCCATAACCACCTGGACGATGTAATGTTTTTTTCTATTTCAATTTCTAAGGTTTTCTTGTCTAATAGTATTTACTTGTATTCCTGTATACAATACAATGTTGAAGAATTTTCGTTTTTGGGGAATTGTCAGGACCTCGATTTTGGTGGAGATTTCGCCGGCTCTAGGCGTTCAGGTTTGCTCATTCTTCCCCTCCGTTTCACCTTTACTGCAAGCCTTTTTCGTATATTTCTCGCCTTTTAACACTTTAAGACGTGATTTTAGGTACTAAAAGAAGCTTTGGAGACCTTGACGATGATGAAGATGATGTTTTTGGCTCTAAAAAAGTGCTCCCTTTCTTGTTTTATTTTTTACTTAATGTAATTTAGGCTGTCTTGACAGCCATACTAGCAAACCAACTATGGTTCTAGGAGAGAAGAATAGTCAAAGTGCGGTTTGATGAATTGGAGAAATCAGAGACGGCCACAGTATTGTTTTGGTTTAGCGTTGGATTTCTAAGTATTGATAGTGACCATGAGACTGTCATTAACTTTATTTTAATTATCAATGTAGAAAATACAACTTTCTGGACATGATTTACATGTTTGGAAGCTAGTGTGGCCTTAGCTAAGTTAGATGATAGCCTTGTGGCTGAGTGAAGTAAGGAGATTATGTCTTCTGAAAGAAATGTTTATGCAATTTCTCTACAGTGTTGCTGTAATAAGATGTTGGTAAAATTCCTATTAATATTTTTACGATGTTGGTAAAGTTGGTTATTCCTAACTTGCTAAACTGCTAAGTATTTTTTAATGACCGAGAAATCCTCTGTTTTAGCTCTAAAACTTGGGGATAATGGTCCTCCGCTCTATGCTTCTCCACTTAAATACTGGAGTTGATGCAACCATTGTTAAGAAATTTTCACCGTGAATTATATGGTTAAATTATTTTGTGCTCACTAGAATTAGAAGACCGCAATGTTATATGGTAGTGAATGTTGTGCCGCTAAAGTCCAACATATTCACAGGATCAGTATTGTAAATGAGAATGGTTAGATGGATGTGTGCACTTTGGATATGCAAAATTAGGTAAGACTAAAAATGACCACATTCCCTATAAGGTGCAAGTACCACACATTAAGGATAAAATGAGAAAAGGTCACTTAAGATGGTATGGTCATGTCCTACATCGGCTTACAGATGCACCGGTCCCTAGGAATGAACCTTTAGTTGCGAACTTATTCAAAGGGAACGAGGTAGGCCTAAAATTACATGGGAGGAAATTATCTCAAAAGAGCTACAATTCGTTGGAATCAATGCACATTTAGCTAAAAATAGAGTGCAATGGAAGAAAAAGATCCATATAGGTGATATATACTAGTTGAGGTTTTGCCGAGGGTCATTAGGAAACAGTAAGGGTAGGGGTAAGGCTGCGTACATCCTACCCTCCCCAGACCCCACTTGGTGGGATTATACTGGGTAGTTGTTGTTGTTGTATACTAGTTGAGGTTTTAGTCTTGTTAGTACGTTTGTATTGAACATATGCTTTAATAGGAGTATTTTGACCTTATCATAGATTTATATGCCAGGAAAAATATAGAAAACTTTTACTATTACTACTACTACTATTATTATTTGTAAATATATTTGGCTAATTTTTCACTATTATGTTTATTTGGCAAAATAAATAAACAAACACTTAAAGTTGGTCCCAAATGTAACTTGAATACTCCAACTTATCCAATGGCATCTAGGATTAGATTATTTTATGTGGGGCCCACACTACATTTTTCATTTTTACCCACAATATTTCTACTTCATCAAAATTTCATCTCCTCCAACAACCTTTCTCACAGCACTACTCCACCATCTTCTGCCGTAAATCTACCACCTCTCTTTCAATCTTGACAAAATAAATCAATAGCGACTACAATGCCATAACAATTCATTGAGAACCATAGCAACATAACTCAAAAGCATAGGAAAAAATGATAGAGGAAGCACACCGGAATGGTGGCGACGAAACAAAGCAAAAATGGAGCACCGACAGCTATACACCATTCACTGACGACATTGCTTCCATCTCTGGCTGACACATATTGGAGAAATTGAAGCAGATTGACTCGAATCTAATCTTCTGAAAAGTACATATGTACAAGTAATCTGCATCATGCTTTCAGATCGGGCTTGAATTTTTTTTATAGTGATTTGACTTCAGATTTGGAGCTAGATTACTCACTCATCATCTTTTGGCTATTGCCTTTATAGTGTTGGGGCTAGAATTTAAAAATGGTAGAAAAACAAAGATAAATCAAATGGGAGAAAATGAAGATGGGGACAAAGGGGTTTTGTTCTGGCAAGAAGAAGAACTTGGGGGTAGAGGAGTGGGGTTTGTTTTTGAAAGATTTTTTGTTGTTGTGGTATAGTTATTGCAAATTCTTTTTTATGATATGTGGCAATTTTTTTAAAATGGCACGTGTCATCATGTCATTTGGTCATTTGACACGTCACCCACGATGGGCCTTCATGTGTGGGATTTGACGGATTTAGGTGTCCACGAGATACACTGAGAGAAAGTTGAGGTGTCTAGATAATTATTGGGTAAGTTGAAGTGTTCAACTGGTAGTTGGGGCTAACTTTAAGTGTTTGTTTATGTATTTAATCTTTTTATTTAGTTTGATAATGACATGAGTTAAACTTAAATGAGGTACATGGTCAGTGATGATTTATATAACTCACCCCAACTTGTTTGGGACTGCGACATAATTGTTGTATAGTAGAATTAGTATAAAATATAGAGATCCAGGGGAAAATCAATAGGGTACACGAGAAGTTGACTGCTCATAATCACTCTCCTTGTTAAATTTATAAGATATGCTTCTTTTGGGACATTGCAAAATGTTTACCATAATAAGGTGCACTTTTTGATACGGTCAAGGATTTAAATCCTTCAAGAATATTGAACTTGGACTGATGTCCAAGGTTTTTTCTAGAACAATTTTTACCACTATCTTCCACAATTTCTCACATGATAGGTGGGTTGCTCTCTTAATCCTAATCATATTAAACTAATAGGTGTCATAGGGACCTATTAGCAAGTTAATATTTATCATTTACTCCTTCCAATACTAGGGTAACTTGAAAGTAGAAGAAACAGCACCCGGTGTAGCGACAAGGATGATCTTGTCTCTTCGTGAGAGGTATGGTAATTTGACCCTTGTTCCATATTTGTAAACTTTTTTTTGGATTTAATTGCTTATGTTTTTCCACTTTCTCACTGTCTTTTGTGCTTTGACATTGCAGTCTTCAGGACTGTAAGGACACCCTTGCATCATGTCAGGTGTATATCATTTTAGGTTTTGTTTTTTGTTTTCCATGGTTATATTCAAAACGACCTATCATCCTTTGATTTCAACATTGCATATTGATGTCATATGATTTTTATTTTTATTTTTATTTATTATCAAAGCTCATAAATCTAGATATATTTTTTACTTGTAGTATGTTGGATTATCATACTTTATCTCAGTTAATATTCAAAATGTATATAGGGTTTTAATTAGGTTAAAAGTAAATCTTCACTGTTCCTTGAGCTGAGGATTTATCATAAACAACCTCTCTATTTCTATAAGGTAGAGGTAAGGTCTGCATATACAGTACCCTCCGCAGACCCCATTTATGGGATTACACTGAGTTTGTTGTTGTAATTAGCTTAGAAGTAAGCACATATAGTGCCTTTCATGGGAAGTTGTTTTGTTCTTTCTCTAATCCTTTACTCAATTCGTTCTTAAATTCATTTTAGATGCTTTCATAGTACAGGATAAGATCTTTTTCTTCTTTTGCCTTCTAGATAATAATATGCTTTAACAAACATGTTGCCTTGATGGTGAATATTTATGCGTGGACTCTCCAAAATGCTGCCAAACCCGTGTCAGGTCCTCCAAAACACTACATTTGGAGGATCTAACACGCATCCGACAATATTTTCGAAGAGTCCAAGTAGCATAATTGGTGATAATTTACTGACAACCTGTCTTTTCATCAGCATAAATAGTTCTTCCCTCTCCAGCATGCTCTTTTGATTTGAAATCTGCCACTCATACATCCTTAAAATGTCCGAGGGGCTAAGATTTCTAATTTCACAGTTTTCATAGTCTTCTTTTGATGTTTCTGTGTCTTCCTTGATTCTTATGCTAACACTAATTTGTTCAAGCTTTGTGTGGGGACCTTTTGGAACTGCAACACACTTAATGGAGCCTGAATTATGGCATTATGCTGTTGAATGACCAAATTTCTGATTGAAATGGCTTAAATTAATTACTGACTCGACAGTTTATGTTTTTTTTAGACAGAAGTTGAAGCTGCAAAATCTGAAATACAAAAGTGGCGGTCTGTGTTTGAAAAGGAATCTTTCATACCACCTGGCATGACACCTGGTATGTCCTTTTTAGCATTGTTGTACTGTGACTATAATCTTGTTTCTCTTCTTCTGGTCTTTCTTTTTTACATCTTTGTGTTTGCCCAGTTGCTGCTGTTTGTTTGAGTCATACGTGAAAGAAATCTTTAATTCCCTCTGTCCCATTTGATATATGATATGGTTTTGAAAGGGTATGGAATTTATGGGAAAGTTTGACTTTTTTGTTGAAGTAATAGGAGTAGTAGACTATTGTGATGCTTCCACCATTATATCATTGCTTAAAGTTGAAATTTTCAAATGCATCTATTATTATTTGTGCCTCCCCCCTCCCCGGGGTAAGGGTAAGGTCTACATACACTCTGCCCTCCCCATACCCCACTAGTGGGATTCTATTGGGTTGTTGTTGTTGCATTTGTTATCATTTGCAGTGTCGTGTTCAACATTTGGGGTCGCCCTTAGAATGGAATGTTTATTTCATGTTAATTGAGTTGGAGGGAGTAACTTCGTCCAATGAGGAGAATTAATTGTACTCTTATTTGCAGAACCCAAGTTTTTGGTCAGTTATCTTCTCAACCTCAGATCATCGGAGGAGTCATTGCGTGAACAGGTTTTTGATTATTCCTCTTTATTTGTTCACTGCTAATAAAATTAGTGAAACTTTTTTCTAATCATTTTCTCATCTTTGCAATCTGTAGTTTGAAAGAGCAAAGAAAAAGGAGTCTGCATTTATTGTGACATTTGCCAAAAGAGAGCAGGAGATAGCAGAGTTGAAGGTAAAGTTGTCCATGGCCATCAAAAGATAAATTGCATCTGTTACATATTTATTTCGAACTATCATGTATGCATTTGGTTTTCATTGTTGCTTTCTCAACAAAATTAGGCAGGATATTTAGGGAAACATGTTATCTTAGTGTATGGCGAAAAAACATATATGGAGCAAAAGAACATAATTTCACTACAAAAATGAAAATTGAGTTGGTTGAAAGTTATCTGAGTTTCCAGCTGTAAATTGCTTACACTGAGAAAATCTCTTATCCTTATGGTGCACAATGAAGCTTGCCTATATCTTAGGGTAAACAAGCCTACTGCTAGTAAGCTGATCTTTCATTCTCGATTTTGTCAATTGAAGATATTCGTTTTCTAATCAATATTAGCAATATTATGACAAGATCAAGTTCAATGCGCTTATGTTATGAAATCTAGTTTTATCCTTGACAGCTGATCAAATGTCATGCCTTTCTTCTTTTTGGGTGAGGGTGGGGAAGAACACGGTACAATGTTGTTGATGAATGTTGAGTGTTAATTTTTATGACCCTTTTTGTGAATGCATAGAATGTTGGGTTCTTTTCCCCTTATCTTTAGTTGCTTTTATTTTTAAATGCATATATCCAATTCATAGTTTTCTCCTTATGTATTGTTGGTCAATTCTTCTTCTTACTTTTCTTATTGGTAAATGTTTTAGTCTGCAGTTTGGGACCTTAGAGCTCAACTCAAGCCGCCGTCAATGTAGGTAGTAATAGTATCTTTCTCACCCATAGATCTATTGTCTGTGTGCTCTATAATATAAATGCCGAAAAAGGAGTGTGTGAGAGAGAGAGAGAGAGAGGGGTTATTCTCTGTCTTTATTCAAGTATTTGGTGATTTTTTCCCACTTTACTCCTTTAAAAAGAAGCACAATGGGTGTAATCTCTGTATTGTATGTAGCTTGCTTCTGTATCACACGTTAAGTTGCTTGGTACAAGTATAGCATTTTAGGAGTTCGGTTAGACTTTTGATTATGATGTCATTGGATGCTACTTGATGAGTTAAGAGGAAGTAAAGAATTTAACCTGAATGTTGCTGAAATCTAAAAGAATGTTCAAGAGAGTTTGATGTGTATTATGAAACTGTCAACCAAGGGAAGTTAGTTTTGCTCTATTCCCACCTGGCTACCCTCTAACAAAAATAGAAGTCCCATTCCTCTCTTGGAGTTATTTGTGATGCAGAATTTCTTTGTATATGGAGGAGGGTGGTATTTTTCCTACCACAGGTTACATTAGTTTCATCCCACCTCATTTTTTTTCTGCGTCTTGGCTTAGTTTTGTCCGCCAAAACGAGGATAACGGAATATCGCGGCCACCTAGATCTCAATTTTTAAACTTTTTTTTCTTTTTGGTTCATTTGGTTGTTGCTTTGCTAATTTTATGTTGTTTGCTTAAATAATACACTTTGTTAGCTGGTGCACCTTCATGTGTAATTTTGGATACATTCGAGAGAGTATTAACTGCTTGATTTACTTAAAGGTTCTTCTAGTTATGAAATCTTAACTAGTATTAGTACCCGCGCGGATGCGCGGACACTAATCATGTCAAATATTTAAGTTATTTGGATTGTATGTAAATAATCTTAAAATTTACACTTTCTCAGTAAATATAGATAATCATTGGATATTAACTACATGAAAAAAATTAACCATTTCTTCTATTTTTCTTTTTTGATACCATTCTTGTCCGTGTCATTGGATCCTAAAATAGTCAGGAAGCAAAATAATAACTCATATTTATGGCAAAACAATCAAATGTTCAGACAATAAATGATTCTTTGGATAAGACTTAATTCTTTTACTACAACTTGAACTCTTATTTGGTGTGTTGATATCTCTTAAAAAAGATTTCTTTCTTAAAATTTCAGTTTCTAAAACTTTATTTTTCAATAATAATTATTTTTATAATAATGTGATTGAAAATATTATTCTTAATTCAAAACTCATTTTAGTTGGCTATCTAAAAATATAAAAAATTCCTTTGCTAGTGAATTTTTTTTACTCCATTTTGATAGTTGACATTAACCATGTTAAATATTTGAGTTATTTGAATTATATGTAAATAACCTTAACATTTAAACCTTCTAAATAATTATAGATAATCGTCAGATATTAATTAAGAAACACTACATGAAAAACGAATAACATTTTCTCAATTCTCGCAGTGATAATTTTATTTTTGCACTATTATCATAGGTGTCATTGGAACCTAAAATAAGCCACAAAGTGAAATAATAATCCATATTTATAGCAAAGCACAAAGGTTGACACGATATAAACAATTCTTTGACTATGACGCGACTCTTATACTACGACTTGAACTCTTATTTGGTATGATATATCATTCAAAAATATTTCTATTTTGAAATTTCAATTTCTAAAACTTTATATATATTATAATAATGATTATCTTTATAATGATGCAAGTGAAGATATTATCTTTAATTTAAAGTTCACTTTAATCGGCTATCTAAAAATTTAAATGATTCTTTGACAAGATTTATTTCAGTATGATTCCACTTTAAGTTTATCGATATCTCTAGCCCAGAATTTGAATTTTTAATACCCTATATATACAAAAAATTTGTTCTTTGAATCATTAAATGTTAAATTAGTTGATTATTATTATAAAACATTGCATATATTGTCTTAAAATTGTCAAGTAATTTATTTTTCGATACCAAACTTGGTTTAACCTCAATGCAAACTACTCAAATTGCATTCCAATTCAAATTCGAATATCATATCAGTTTGTTAGTAATAGTGATTTTTTAAAAATGACATATAATATAAATTAAAAAAAATATTCTAAGATATCCTTATCTTATAATCTATGTATTTGAGTTGAAAAAAATATATTTGAAATCGATTAGATTAACTTTCAAATTTTTTATACTCAACAAAGATGAAACATAAAAGAAATTTGTTGTCATCTTTTATTTCTGGTTTTTAGATCTTTCTAATATTTTTTTCAATATTTATTTTCTTTTATCTTATTTTTTTATGTCATTATTTCTTTTGTTACAAAAAATTAATTTATTTTACTATAAAAGGATGAATTTTAATAAAAATTGTCTACATATGAACTTTAATTATATTTTTAGTCTTTGGTTGAAATTATTTCATATTTTTCTTTTAGCTTTATCTAATCAGCCTATATAGGAGCTCACTCGACCATTTAAATTAAAAAATTGAATGATGTGTAATTTATATATAATCCATATATAATATGTGTATAATCGTGTGTTGTTGGTATATCATTTATTTATATTAGTTATAAAAAGTAAACAATAAATATTGTCGGATATTATGTAAATATTCCATAAGATTTCGATTTTTTGAGTTTATTCATGATATAACTTCTATTATAATAATTTTAAAACTCTCTACTAATGTTCAAAAATATCTTATCTTTTTATTATCTTTGAGGTAAAAAAAAAAAGTAAAGAGTTTTTTCGAAATAATTTGTTTACATTTTTAAAAAAAATATTTCATGTCGTACCAATTTTTTCTTTATATATACTCTTTGTTACACTTAAAAGTCGCTATAGAAACTATCAATTAGAAACCAATTTCTCTCTTGTTGAGTTTTGTCACGACCCTAACCCTGAACCCGGTCGTGATGGCGCCTCTCGTGAAGACAAGGCCAGCCAGTTCAACTCAACTCAAATCTTTTGAAGCAGCTAATCAACATAAAAATAGTCTAAACATGATTTAAACAATACTAATTAGCGAAAATATCGTTAACAATACGGAAAGTCCAACCCGACACAGCCCTAACCGGGGTGTCACAAGTCACGAGCATCTACTAGGGTATGTTTACAACTGACAGTACGAAGTGTACAAATACAGACTAATGAAATGAAGAGAGAAAAGCAGTGTTGCGAATGCCGGCAGCTACCTTACTAAACTCTGATGACTCTGCCTCCGATCAGTCAAAACATACCTAATCTGCACACAAGGTGCAGGGAATAATATGAGTACTCCGACTCAGCGAGTAATAATAATAAATAAAGACTGAAGGCAAGAAATCACGTAAAACATATCAAGATGCTGTATAGAAGCAGTCCAAAACCAGTAAGAACGCAGTGAAGCTGTAAAAATCTCTTAAAATATCTTAGCTCGGTTTAAACTTCTTTGAAAATGGCTTTTCAATGGTTACGCAAATGAACGCAAAATAGTTATTGAAGAGAAGCACAGAAATCCGCCCCTCGGGCACAAATAACATATTTTAACAGGTAAATGACATGTAAATATGAAAGATAAAAACATAAAGGTTTGCCCCTCGGGCCCAATGTCAACAACTCTGCCCCTCGAGCAATATCTCAAAACAATACCAACCCCTCAGGCAATCACATAGAATGGTACCAGCCCCTCGAGCAATCGCATAGAATAATACCAGTCCCTCGGGCTATCACATAGAACAATATCAGCCCCTCAGGCTATATCTCATATCACAATGGGTACCTGCGCTCACTGGGGGTGTACAGACTCCGGGAGGGGCCCTTTACGGCCCAAATGCAATATCAAGTCATCTCGTGGCATCAAATCTAGGCCCTCGGCCTCATATCAATCAAACCACCTCGTGGCGTATAGATCTCAGGCCCTTGACCTTATAAACAATATCAACAAGCCACCTCGTAGCGTACATATCTCAGGCCCTCGGCCTCAAATCAGTATCAGTGTTTCCTCACAACTAGGCCCTCGGCCTTACTCAGTCAAAAATACTCACAAGCCCCGCGGGCATTAGTAAAACAGTATTTCTCAGCCCAAAACTTCATTTAAAATATCATTTAAGTCTTAAAACGGAGTAAAAATGGCTGAGTAGTAAAACAGTGAAAAATAACATGACTGAGTTAAATTAATAAGTCAAAACAGTGAGGAAATAGTAATAAAAATCCCCGAAGGGTTCAAATAGCTGGCACGAAGCCCAAATATGGCAATCAGCCCAAATCATGATGATAACATATAAGTTTCAGTCAAATACACAGTAAAATCATCAGTCGGGATGAACCAAGTCACAATCCCCAATAATACATGACCCCACGCTCGTCATCAAGCGTGTGTCTCACCTCAATGTAGCACTACGATGTGCAATCCGGGGTTTCAGACCCTCAAAACATCATTTACAATCATTACTCACCTCGAACCGACTAAATCTCTAACTCGCGACGCCTTTGCCCCTCAAATCGACCTCCACGCACGTCGAATCTATCCAAAATCAGAACGAATACGTCACAATATGCTAAGAGAACAAAGCCCAAGCAAAAACAATCGAATTACCACAAAATTTCAGAAATTGGTCAAACCCGACCCCCGGGCCCACATCTCGTAATTTGACAAAATTCATAAAACTAGAATCCTTATACTCTCAAGAGTCTAACCATATGAAAATTATCCAATTCCGGTACCATTTGGTCCTTCAAATTATTATTTTATATTTTTTGGAAGATTCCACAAATTTTCTTCCTACATTCCATCCTAAATCACGAATTAAATGATGAATTCAATGGTAGATTCATGTACCCTAGCCAAATCTGAGTTAGAATCACTTACCCCGATGAATTTCTTGAAAACCCTTCGAAAAATCGCCAAAATCCGAGCTCTCTAGGTCAAAATATCAAATAAAACCCAAAACCTCGTATTTATAGAGTACCCCACAGATTTCCACCTCCGCGGACCGCACAAAATCGACCGCGGTCTGCACA